TCCGGGATTCGTGAGGAGTGAAAGGGTGCACGGCAGCTACTAGTGGTCAGGGCGATCCAGGAGCATGCCGACAGAGTCGGAAGGTTCGGCAACGGCAAGCACCGATGATCGGGGAAACTCGATTTGGACTTTGCTTCCTTCTTTCGATCCTGGCAGCGATGACCCCCGAGAGTATCGAGACAAGGTTCTTTTCCTGCGTGGCATTTGCCCACAGAAGGATAAAGCAATGCTGGCACCGAGACTGGCAATGCTTTGCAAAGGCACGGCCTGGAGTCAGGTGAAGAACATTGAGCCGAGCAAGCTGACAGATCCAGATGGTGGAGTGAAGGTCCTCCTTCTAGCTCTCTCGAGCTGGGATGAGGCGGCTGAGCTCCAGACTTACGACAAGTGTGAGAAGGCCCTTTACAGGATCCAGCAAAAAGGGGATGAAACCACAATGTCCTTTGTGAATCGCTTGAGTGTTGCGTTCCATGAGCTGGGCGACAGTGTCACGATCAAAGAGCTCAAGGCATTCATTTTGTTACGTCAAAGCAACCTGAATGCGGAGGACAAGCGCAAGGTCATTACTTTGACCGGAGGCACGTTGGACGCCCCCAAGATCGAGAATGCAATGCGAACTTTGTCTACCAAGATCTTGGGAAGCAGCCTCGAAGGGAAGAAACGGATCTATCCCGCCAACTATGTTGACGACGACGACTATGAAGACGCCAATCTGGCGGAAGAGGACCGTGACGAAGACTTGGTCATCGAACAGCTGGCCGAGAATGGAGATGAAGACGCTATCTTCGTCACCGAGTACGAAAACCAGATCCTTGATCTTGTTCAAGAACTTCCCGAGCTCGCATCGTGCTTTAGCAGCTACACTGCTGCGCGACAGCGCTTGAAGGATCGCAACAAATCAAGGGGCTTTTGGCCTCCCAAAGGGAAGAACAAAGTAAAGGCAAGGGCAAGGGCAAGTTTGCGGGCAAAGGACAGCCAATGCGTCGCACGCTGGCGGAGAGGATCGCGTCATCCTCCTGCCGCATATGCGGCGTCAAAGGACATTGGCGTCTTGAATGTCCACAACGTCCCGGAGCCACCTCCACCGGCAACCAGGAGACTTCCAACTACGCCACCGTCACCTTGACGCAGGGCAGCCAGAACGAGGACGACCCCGAGATCGTGAATGAGCTTCCCTGGGACGTGGTGAACTCCGACAGCGCCAGATCGTCATCGCAACGCCTGTCTCGTGTCTCCTCCTTA